ACCAGCTTCCTGACAAAGAAACAAAAGTTATACAATTCATGGAGGTGTACGGAAAGCCGATGTCCCCACGGATGCAAGCAAACATGAATTCACCGAAACTAGTGGATCACCGGACCCTTGTCGTGGTTCTTGGAGTTAAGAAATTTTCAAGTAAATGTTGAGTTTCAGGTTCGCATTCATGTTGACGGCGTACGTAGTAACAGGGTTTTTATTGCACAGTGGCCGGAGAAGAGCCCAAGCCATCGTACTTTTGGTAATTGTTTCATGAGCAATGATCAGCACGAGTGATTCAGATCAGGTTGATATCGAATTTTTAGCGTCAGCCAGCTGCGGATTAAGTCACTGTCCTCCTGACACTGGCAGATACCTTTCTGGTTAAACGAGTGTGTGTAATCGACACTTATGAATTTTGCATCCGACTTTCGAGGAGGTGGTAAAGCGTTGTCGTTTTCGTCATTATGTCCACGTTAACCATGGTCCATGCTTAATCGTGTTTTGCAGCGTGAAACTATTTGACATCTTGATCGGCGGAATCCCAGTGCAATTGATCGACAGTTGTGGTTTCCAGCCGTGTATATGACTTACGAGCTTTAGCAAGTATTCCTTCCGGGTAAGGTGCGAAAATAGCGCGCGAAGCGAAGTAGTGCAAAGTTGGATCAGGTGGCGCGTTGCAGTTTGCTGACAGGTTCGTCATCATCAATTACTTGAAGAAAAACGCTGCTCGTGTTTCTTCAATAACCGTCAGTTGGTCCTAAGTTTGATATTTTCACGTATGATTATGTTGCAAGCACAGCATAACGGAAAACCTTCTGCACGTTCGTCGCGCATTAACTTCGTTGACGTTCGTGCCGAGAAAGTTCAGGTCAAACGGACGGACGAACATCGCGCAAACGACGACTTCGTTTAGGACAAAAAGTTTAAAATTCATCAAGCAGCTCGATCGCTAATTACATTAGTGTAGCATACTAGGCTGATCTTCGCAACCGCGTTGATGAGGCATTCTGCAGCAAAGAACGAGACTTACCGGTGGTCACATGTCGACTTCACTGTAAACGACAAGTTAAATTCCATTGAATTTGTTCATAGGGGGACGAAGGTTTCTTAATCACCAGGTGTACTGATTATTGCCTAAGCTTTGGTTTTGTCTGAAGTAATTGTAAGACAGTTTTGAATGATTTCGCTTTATAAACAATGCAAAAATGTTTTTATCACGCCTTCTGCTGTCAATTTCAGATATGTGACCAGCATTGCCTGCTAACGTTATGAGGCTCGGCATATTGTCGCATAACGCAGTTGAAGTGTTTTGAATAGTCTTTTCATTAGTGATGCTACATATCACTATGTATATAGCTTTTTACAACGTTCATCACTTTCGAATTGTATATGCAGCGCCATCTTACTAATCAGTCGATTTCGAACAGACTATAAAATTAAACCTTAAGGAATACGCAAATGTATGAAATTTTAGCTCAGTTTTCTATATTGAAGTAAATTCTCACAAATCCGCTATTCGTTCCGCTGTTGCACATGTATATTTGTACTCGTTATCGTATTTTGTTTCTTTCTAATTTCAGTTCGAGTTGTGAATTCGATCGCCATCCTTTAGGCATTTCTTTTAAATTTCATGTAAAGACGTGCTTCTGAACTTTCGCTAGTTTCGGTGGTTTTCAAATTTAATGCACTAGAAATAAGAAAACTTTTCTCATGAGAGCATTTGAGGTACAAAATATGGCACATGACGACTGTCATTCCCGTTCAAGCAACTGTATGACTTCTCTGATTTATCTGACATGATGAAGTTCGGTTTAATTGTAAATGATTATAGGGGGCGTGGTGGTACAATGTTTAAGAGGTCGGCTTTGAACTCGGCATGCGCCGGGTTCGAATTTGTCCAAGAGACAATCTTTGCCTTCACTGAGAATTCCTTTGAGCAAAGAATTAATCTCACGTTCCTTCGGCGCAACTAATCGAGAAACGAGTACTAAATCGATGACATGCCGATAACTGGGATAGCATGGTATTTTGGCTTGGTCATGTTAGAATGTACCAAATGCTGTTTCATGTGAGCGCCCTTGTGACTGCATTTCGCGTTGACCCACCTGATTATCCAGTGTAATAACAAGCACAAGGTGTGACCCCAATGTCGATTTCGACATGACAGCTACAGCCAGCACCAACTTCAAGAATCGTCATTGTGTAGTATTGAACTGTGTTTCATGCACCCACTTCGTCTGCCCAGCTGTGAAAAACTGTGGTATGCATATACTGTGGTATGTCAAGGGTAGCACGGTGATACGCCTAATTTACCAAGCCCATTTACCTATCAGACGACCGGGCTGAATGATGCCATGATGGGGATGAACCGCTGTAATCCCTGACTTGGTCAGACAACACAATGGAAAGGATTTTGTCGGGATAATATCACATAGTTGCCAATGAAACTTTGTGTGCGAAACTCATTTCAGCTAGTATTGAATGGAGCACTTATTTTTTGCATTTACATATTACGGTCCGATTCACAGCAGAGTCTTTAATACTTCTTACAGAAGTTTCAGTATTTGAGTCTCACGTGAGTGCTGACCTTCACTGGTCTCTATTTCCTAAAGAAACGGCTAAAAGGAGGCAGTAGAACCAAGTCAAAAAATCCTGTCGAGATGACAACATCGTTTCAATGACGGTATGCTCCAGCGGTAGAAAAATATCGCCGATAAGTAATTCATTAACAATTTTGGGGGCACCGGCGTCAAAATTGACCGACATCTCTGATTGTCAGCACTCGCTGACTGTATTCGAATATCTTGTCTTTTGGAACTACTTCAGTCCGTTCAAGAAGTCGCATCGACGTAGATGAAATGCATAAAGAGAATACTGGCACCATTTATGATAACCCGTAGAAGTTGGTCCTTTCAATGATTATTCAGCTCAAGATTGCACGAGGACTGCCGTCACAGAAGTGATTTGGAATGCTGACAATAGGTTAGATCTTAATCCGTGTCGATGCGCAGGCACTAAAAAATTTACGAGTGGATCTTTCATATATGTGGGCTTCTTCGTAGATCTGAGAGCTTTTCAGACTGGAACCTGCAATTATGAAATCAGTATCAATAGAGTTAGGCTGTTAGATTCAAACAAAATCATAGGACTTACTGGACAGGGACTTTTCCAACTTTTAAAGCGAATCTTGATCTTTTCTATGCGCAGTCATTTGGGTTAGATGGGTATTTTAGCATTATGAGTACTAAATCATGTGATTAATCATGTTCTTCACTGCAGCTATTATTTCGCAAATGCACTCAAAGAATGTTATGGTGAAATGAAAAGAACTAAATAAGAATTTTTATGACGTGCCAAATCGAAGTTTGATATGCTTAATAAGCTAAAATAATCGTATTTACATGAGTAAAGCTACTGAAGATCGCCTTCAGCTGTCTTCTCTTTGTGAGACGTGAGCAACACTTTAAGCCATTCGACTACCTCCTGACTGAGCTACAACATCCTTCAACAGCTAATCCGGTATGTCCAATGGGAATTTGACCGAATGTTCATTCGTTTTCCTTCAGCAGTGTACAGGTAGGCTGCTCCATTTTTACCTTGCTCAGTGAACTTGGCGCTGCACCGACTTCTCGGAGAATCGAGTTGTTCATCTGTCGCCTACCGAGCTTGTTTGAATGATGCATACGGATAGAGTGATTATCGAAATACTCTACCCTACTTACAAACAATAATCCAAAGTATTTTTTCTCTGACAGACAAACGAAGAAGGTTTGCAAACGCCGCTCCGGCTATGCGCGTCCATTTCTGACAAACAGCTAAAAAATTTAATTTTCCCAATGGTGAATGTATGAAGTTGAAAATTATGATCGCCGATTTTCTCAGCTTAGAGTTGAACCTTTATTCTCTCATTTTACCGAG